TGAGCTCTTGATCCCTTTCCAGCACTCAGATACCATCGGTCCAATTTATTTAACCCCTGCTGGAAAATATTTACATGTTCAACATGCAGCAGTAAGACATTTAAAAACCTTTGTTACTCACTGTGTATGAACTTTCTTGAGTTTGTCCTAAAGTTACCCTTTCAGAGGTAGAATAGAACATTTGCCTAGGATGCACACGGTCTTGGGTTCAATCCCAGCTTCTTTGAGTGATGCGAGTAACAGCTTCTTCACCTTCAATTGTACTTTTTTGGGTTAGTTTTTGCTCTATTGTTTTGTTTTATTTTTGTCTTCTGAGACCGAGTCTTGCCGTGTAGTTCGTACTGGACTTGAACACTGAGTAGCCCAGGCTGCTCTTGAACCCTTGGCGATTCTCCTGCCTCAGCCTCCTGGGTGCTGGGATTACAGGTGGACACCACTCTGCCTAGCTCCTACTCGTCTTTTAACTGCACCTTGGAGCTTCTGCTTTTCAACTGGTGTCTTTGTTCATGACAGTGACTTTCACTATGACACTGTTCTCTGGCTGCTGGTCACGTCCTGTGAGTCCTAGACCCAAGCCCCTGCAACAAGATGGTACCAGTTCTACACAGGGCTCAATGGAGAGTCCATACTCCCTTTTGGAGTCTCTTTGTGCTATTTCTACCTATAGAATTCATAATTCTGTGAATTAACCTATAAGAATTAAAATGTGAGAGGAAAAGTGTTCAAACATAATGCCAAATAAGACTGGGTTCACAAACCAACAGAAAACCATCCTCAGGTTCAGTGTCTCATAGGGTGCACACCTCAATTCCTAGTGGAATCCCCGGCCCTCTGATGAATCCTCCTGGCCGAGAACTCTTGTTTGGCACAAACATAGTGAAATTTTCTACCCCATCCCTGAAGGAAAGTGGTGCTACCCTCAGACTGATCCCCTTAGGATTCATTCCTTATCAATCCTAGGACTTTAGTAGCCTAACCAAGGCTCTTCTCAAAATCCCACCTAATCAACCAAGATTTTTCACAATGGGCTAGGAAAGTGATAGCTTTACTACAACAGTCCCAGGTGAGCTGTGCCCCAGGTCCCATCCTGACACGGTAGAGAGCAGATATGTGCTCCTTTCTTCTGAGGATCCAGATGGCAACTAACAAAACACACAGACACAGACACATACCTCTCACTAGTAGTACACTTTGTATTCATATTAAGCAATAGAAACTACTTGCTAAAGGACCTGATGGACAGAGATTTCTTCCCTTGTGAGTTTGGTGTTTTATTATTATTATTATTATTATTATTATTATTATTATTTGGTCCCAGGAATCCAACTCATGATCTGGTGCTTGCCAGGCAGGCACAGTGCCACTGAGCTATATCCCTGGGCCTTGGTGTTCTATTGTTACGCAAAGTTGTGTGTCTGACTTGTGCATCTTTTATCCCCTAATCTTGCTCAGAGGTCTGTTGAGGCTGAAGGAAAGAGGCCAATCAGCCTGCTCTTAAAGCACAGAGCTAGTGGGCCCTCCATGGCCATCTTTTGGCCACACTAAAATCCAGCCCCGAGTGTTTACATTACCCTACTAATCAGGTCCTGGTCCTACGCAGGGAATCGCCACACCACTGTCTGTAAGAGGAAGAATGGAATTACTTTCCTGAGTCGCCTCACCAGTGAGCTGCACTGAGGTTAGTGAATGTGGATTTTGAAGGTTTAGAAATGAGGCTGAGCTGTGCTTTTATTTTGACATAGTTAATTTACAGCTTTGTTGGCTTTGATCCGCTTTTAGCCACCATCTTTCTAGACCGTTTGGAGAAACACAGTGTGTCAGCAGGTAGCTTGTCCTCCCTGCCCCACAACCTCAGTTTCCTTATCTGTCTACACCCTGCTCCCAAGTGTTCACCTGCAGGCTTAGGCCAGCTGCCAAATTTGTGCTCTGGCATTGCTCGAGATAACAGTTTCCAAATCTTCACCACCTGAAGCTTTGTCTCATCTCTCTTAGGCTTCAAGAGTTGATTCCTAATTTAAGTTTCCCAAGAATTTAAAAAAATTTTTTTTGTCTTTTTTTTTCATTTCTATCGGTACCGGGATTGAACTCACAACTGCCTGCTTGCAAGGCAGGTACTTATGCTGCTGAGCTAAATCCCCAGCCCCTAGTTTCCCAAGAATTTGAAAATCAGCCCATGTCCATTTTAACTAAAATTCTTTTTAAAGCAACTCCCCTTTTAACCTTAGGTTTTGCATTTTGAAGTCATGTGATCAGTCTCCTTGTAGTAAACCTTTCATTAACATTTTGTTTAATTTCTCTGATGGTTCGGAATAACATATTATTCATTCATTTAAACTTCCAATTATAATTTTACAAAATGCTTTTGTCCATGAAGAACTGGCTACAAATTTACATGGAATTTTAAGGTTAAAGATGGATTCCAAAAGGATTATCTTCTAGCGCATGGAAAGCGCACTGAGACTGTGGGAAGTCCAGGAAGTAACATCACATAAGCTGAGCTGGAGAACGCTCACCGTGGTTCACAGGTGGCATGGCTGCGGGCAGGTTATTTCATCTCTCCAGGCTTCAGTGTCATCATTTATAAAGATGAAAACAGTACTAACGCATTTCTTATTGGTTGTTGGAGAGTTGCATGAGCGAGTGCCCACAGCACCGGCCAGTAGAAAGGGCTCAGTGGATGTAAACGGTTAGTGTTGTGCTAATAGGTTCTTCATGTGAAGAAGACACTTTGCAAGTGTCGGTAGAGGATCATCTAAATCAGAATCAGCTCAGTGTATTTAAAAAGTAAAAGTGCTTGGGTCCCACACCAGCCTTGCTGGGTTGTGCTTTGTCACACTGAGGTGTAAGCGTTCATATTTTATCCTGCTGCCTGGGATGTTTGATGAGAGGCAGTCTGGGTTGCTCCTTGCCGTCGGTGCAGGGGCTGTGCAGCTCCTGGGCTGCTCCGTGTGTGCTGCAGCAGGCAAGACACTGTGTGAGCAGAGCCATCCACCTGCTAACGCACTAGGCAGCTCATCCGCCTCAGTATCTGCAAATCTCTTAAAAACCACGTCCAGGTGGGGCTATCCACTGCCATACACCTTATCTGTATTTGCCTTAGGCTCGCATTTCACTGAATCACTTTCCATACTCGATTTAGACAGAACTACGGGCAATGGAAAGAAAAGAAAACGCAGGGCTTCAAAAATCCTGTTAGAGCTGCAAGAGAATGGACTCAGGAGGCAGAGGACTGAGGGGGAATATGTGAAGAGGCTGGTATCCAGGAAAAGGCTACATTGGTGCCAGCCATGGGCATCTTTGATTCTCCGCTCCTTGGCCTTTGGGCATGGCCGCTGGTGGTGAGTGGAGCGCAGGCAGGGGCTTTGGTTTGTATAAATAGATATTTGTTGACAACCGGCCAGTTTCAATTTAGTTTTAAGCCATTAAAATTTTAGTTGTATTGGCACCTCAGAAAGGCAGCAATTGTTCTATTTCCTGGCACAACTATTTCGTGAGGCAGGCTGTAGCTTGTCATGTTTGCCCAAGCCTTAGTTTAGGCCCCAGGCAGAGGAAAACTAATGGCATTCGGAGTGCACATCCGAGGAAGAAGCCTGCTGAGGTCACGGTTAGTGCCCCTCCCGGAACTGCAGGCTGCAGGCAGCTCTGCTGCTTGGCATCTTGCTGTCCTGCGTTAGTCTGGCCCTCCTGCGTGTCTGATTTAGTCCTCCTTGTGGAAATAGATCTTTGTGTGTATGAGGAAGTCGGGGTTTAATAATCCTGTATATTCCTGAACAGTCTTTCTCAAATGGTGACTCAAACTTTACATCATGGGAGAGTAAGGAGCAGAATTCTTTGAATCCTTTCATACCCAAACTTGTGTGTGATGGGAGGGGCAACTCTGGGCAGGTGAGTTAAATTCTCTGATCTTAAAACTGCTCAGTTTGCTATCAGTATTGTAACAAAGATTAAAATGTACAAGAAGAAAAACCTGCAGACAATTCTGGTAAGCCAGACGGCTTTAGAAAATGGTTGTGCCCAGTGTTTATGGTACCCATATTCCTGCCATGGTGCTGAAGCTTGAAATGTGGAAAAGGCCCTCTAGACTTCGCTAGCAGGATCAAGTCTTCTGTGGTAATCACTCTCACCAAGCACGATTTAATAGCACATCCTAGCATCCTAGCAGGTAGCTTAAGTTACTCCTGGTCCTTGGAAAACAGTGAATTTCTTCAAATAAATTAATTGGAGGAATTAAAATCTGAAAATCAGCTGAAAACAACGTAATACTAAAAATCAGTGTAAACACGAGTGACACGTATTAAAGGACCTACGGCAGACCCTCAGAACCAAAAGGCATCCAAAATCCAAAGCCATATGGCTGTGCAAAAGGGAGAAAGGTCAAGGATTTGACAAAAAAGTTAATGTAACAGTGCTTTGAAAAATGGCTTACAAATTAGTATTTCCTAAGGTAGCTGTGGTTTTGGTCATATTAATACTTGTTTGGTCGATATCAGGTAGAAGAAGCATCCATCTGGATTTCTCCCTTCCTTTCCTATTTCCCCCCTTTCCTCTCCTTTTGTGATATCGGGTTATTGGGCCTTGAAGTTACATCCTTTATACCGAGCTTGGTCACCAGCACTTTGTCACTTTTAAATTCTGAGGCAGGTCTTGCTAAATTACCCACGTTGGGTTTGAACTTGGAGTCCTCCTACCTCAGGTTCCCCGAGTAGTGGGCTTCCAGGCAGGTGCCACCAGGCCTGGCTTCACCTGTGTCTTTTTCTGATGCTGTCCTAAAATGTGCATTTGCATTTAATCCAGAGGCAGATGTTGCTTTTCTACCACGGCAGCCATTTCCATCCTGTTCTACGGTAGCAAAAGCATCCCACTACATTAAAATACTTTTTTGTTCATGCATAAGTAAAATGAAACCACTCAAGTATAGTTGATGATTTCCTGGCCTAATTGAAAATATTCAAATCAAACAGAGAGGACAATGGGAAATTTATAAAAAATAATCCAAAACATAGTAGTACAAAATTATTTATTAGTTTAAAAAGGAGACAGAATTTATTGGTTATACAGAAAAGTAAATGGAAAGTCACCTACAAAAATTGCAATTCTCATCGTATAAAGTAGACACTATGACCGGGTTTGAGACCTGGTATTAATGCTGATGTTAGCATCAAAAAATGGAAAACAGTGACATGTAAACGGTGCTTGTGATATTTTGTTAACAGGCTGCATATTTTGAAGTGTCATTAGATGTGGTAGAAAAATAGATAGGCCCATGCCCTGTTTCAAATCAAGTCATTTCTATTAACTATAGCATATGTCACAGTTTGTTTCTCTTTTGTAGAAGTCGCTGGGGGTGGCTGCTAAGGGGGTGAAGTCCAAACAATCTGAGCTTGGGTAGAAGTACTCCGCTGTTCTCAGGGCCTGCAGGTGCTCTGCCTCGCAGGACACGCAGCAGCAGAGCGGGCCGCTGGCAGTGGAGAAGCAGTTGTACTGGGCATGCGAGGGCAGGTGGTAGTAGGTGTAGTCTTCCTGGGGGTAGCCGTGGCTCAGTGTGTCCAGAGAAGGGGGAGAACTGTAGTTCTCTGAAGGGTACAAAGGTGGCTGAGCTGGTGAGTAACTGTAGTCTAAGGAGCCAGACAGTGTGGAGGAATCTGATGGCGATCCCGGGGTCTAAAGAAATGAAAAGAGCAAACAAAGAGCTTGATAACTTAGACAGGATCAAAAGACCTGCACAGTGTGGGTTTATTAACACAAGGAAAGACAAGCAGAGGGGAAAAAACAAAATACCCAGCCCAAGTCTGGAGAAGTAATTTTATTTGTTGACTACGTGATTTCATGACACCATACTCTGTATCAGCCTATTTCTTTCCCAACAATCAATTGTCTTGCTTCACTGGCTTCCTTTGTTATAGCCAGACTTGGAGGATGTTTTGCTCTAAAACCATAAAATCCCATTGTACTGCAGGTCACCTGTACATTAAATCCCGCTGTGTGGGACAATTTAAGTGCAGGTGGCACCCTGACTATTTCCCCACACCCTTGACTGGGGAGAACTAGGTGAGGATGCAGAGGCAGAACCTGGATCCCCAAGGACGCTGCCTCTGAGATGCCCACGCTGGGTAACTACCCTCCTGCCACTAGAGTGCGGTCCCCGGAGCACGGTACTGACTGTCTTCTCCCAAGCAAGTCTACAGTTGTCACTGAGAAAGCCGAATCCAGGCTAGAGGCGATGAAGAACCAGCAGCCACATTCATATATTCTAGTGTATATTGATACACTAAAAAACTACTCAAATTTCTTACAAACTTTATGACTTTACACTTGAACTTTTAAAAATTACAAGTCTCCAAAAGACATCTAAAGTAATCAGATACGTAGATAAATAGATGTTATGGAAACCTTGCTTCATTTTAAAAAATAACACATTTTTGAGCACTTGAGATCCATAAAGAACAGACAATGCAAATTCTTTTTTTTTTTTTTTTCTGATACCAGGGATCGAACTCACGACTGCTTGCTTGCAATGCAGGTGCCTATGCTGCTGAGCTAAATCCCCAGCCCGACAGTGCAAATTCTTGCAGAGATCAGGGCATTTTTACTTGCCATCTCTGACCCAAATGAGTTCTTGTGCCTATAGGACACAGAAGCAACTAGTTAGTAGTACCAATTCTGTAACTAAATCTAACCCCTCAACTTCCCTTTCAGAATGAAGTTTGGGGCTGTGTAGATACAACCTTAGTTTCATTTTTAAGAGTTTAAAATCCAGGCATCATTGGCTAAGCCAGACATTTCCAAGTTAGGAGATATCTCAACTGCCCAGTTTAGAACCCATGAGTACTGCCGCCCATCAACTTATTGGGAAATCATAATTAAGTGTGTATAAAAGGTTTATGCCCTGTAACAAGCAGCTCTCTCTGCACACTGCATTGTAAATGGCTCTCTGGTCATTTCCTTGATAGCATTTGTATGATTCCTCAGATGATGATGCAAACTTTCTTACAAAGCATTACTACCGCATAGAAACAATCCGGTTATATAAAAAATGAAGATAAATTACCAGGCTCTGGTTAAAGCAGAAAGGTGTGGGCTGAAAGTTGTCTGGCAGGCAGTGGGGAACACTTTGTGTGGGGTCCAGCAGCGACTCTGAGAATGTTTCAGTTGGAAAGTAGGAATCAAAGATCTGGTCCAGGCAGTTTGGGTTTTCTTCACAAGAAATACAAGTGGAAAATTCTCGGGGGTTAAAATAACTGGCGGTAGAAGACACTGGTTCAGGCTCAAAATAGAGTCCTAGAGGGGAAAGAGAAAAGGTTTTAAGATTGCAAAATGGGCTTGAATGTGGTATTCTTTTATATTGTGAATACTTTAGAGGGTAAGGTACTTAGAAAGTTCCAGAAAAGTAAATGGGCAGGCCATTTGGACATGCCAGTCGTTTAGATTCCAGTGCCAGTGCAATTAATTTGATTAATAATGTAGTGAGCAATATGGTGTGAGCAAATATAAAGTATGGTGGCTCAGCCCAGGCCCAAGAGGCACAGTTTGATAGCTTTAGTGTGCTGTAAAAGCGAGGCCAGCCAGTCCTTATCTGAGATTTAAGGAAGACTCTCAGCACTGACAGATCTGTCTGAGGCTATGAAAGTACTCCTGATGCCACTGGAAAGAATTCTCTTGATTCAGGGTACTGCTTTCCTAATCTTTTCACACTTAATTTAAATTCTGAGGCAAGAATTTTGAAGAGCAATATGCACATTAATGAGAATGAAAATGATAAAAGCAGAAATCAAGAATGTAGTGTGAAAATTAGTGCTGCTTGTTTAAAATTGCAAAAAAAAAAAAACCCCACAAAATGTTTTCATAGTAAACATGTTAACATGATAATGCAATAAAAATTATTAAATGCTGGACAAGAGTAAGTTAGAAAATATGACTCCTTTTCCATTTTTGTATTAATAGACTCAATGCTCCAAGAAGAGAGGTGTAGAGTGTACCCATCAAAGGGGCTACAGGACGCGGGGTTTTTGAAGTTTCAGGTTCCTCTATGGTTAAGTTAAAGTGACACATTCAGGGGAAGCCATCCGCAATCTCAGGCTTCCCTATTTATGACCTCGCAGCAGCTGAGTGGCATAGCAAGGGATGTTTATGTAATAGTTATTTGTATTGAGCTGGGAAAACTTGCACTTGTTTGAACTGCTCTCTGGGAAGAGAGAAAAGAGGAGGAGGGGGAAGCCCCTGTCGGCTGGGAGCTGAGTGAACAAGAGCCAAAGTACTATTCTAGTGTTCAGGAGCTTCAGTATTCCATGGCATCGTGAGCTAAAAGATAAACAGGTTCCTGAAACATTTTGACTTTACAGTCAGGTTTAGTTACTTGGAGCTGAGGAACTAGAAACAATGTGAGCAAAGTCTTGGGACAGGTGGCAGAGACAGCCAGGACAGACAGTTGAGAAAGCAGGACAGAAAACACGAGCTTGTTCCCCTGCTGGGCTTGCATCTGGTGCCTCTGTGCCCTTTCCACTTTCTGATTGGTTGAATCCCAATTAAATGGTGGTGCCTATCTTAACCCCTGAATCAAGCACCGAAAAGCTTGGAGATGGACTTTTGGAAGAGGGTTTGAAGCAATTGCGGTGCTGGCTGTACTGACCTGCAGAGGACGGTGCGCCTGGGTCTGAAGGGTGGACACTGCTGCCTCCAGACAGCTGCCAAAACAACAATATGACCATGAAGCAAACAGAAGCAAAGAGAAGCTCTGCACAGAGGCTAAGATATTTTGAGGTTTCCCTTTGCTACAAGGTAAGCCAGATTCCTTCTTCTAAAAAAGAAAAAGGCACTTTAAAAAACTTACAACCAGTGTTATATTTTATTTAGATTCAACTTTTGTGTTTGCTTGGTTGAGAGGGTTTTTTTCCTAGTGTCGGAAATATCATCTTGATTTTTAAAAAATTAATGTGAATAATTTTTCTGTTACAGCAATGTAGTAGCTCAAGAAACACAGCAAAAAGCCCTTCTATTTACAAATAAGGACTAACACTTATTAATCTAACTATGATTTAGTCCATCATTTCCCTAAAAAATTTCCTATGCAATCTGGTTTCTTAGTCTAAGGAATTCATGTCCCCTAAAGAATACAATTCCTAAGCTTTTAAACCAGAGTTGCTAAAAATTTCCATGTTCTTACAATCAACCAACTAGAATCAAATCAAATAGAAAACATTGTCTTAAAGCTATAGTCAATGAGTTGGAGCATATCAGAAAATTCTAGTTCATTGTTGGGAACTATGTCAACTTTTTATGTGCTTCTACTACTTTTTAAAATTTGCTTTTTTCATAAGTGTTCAAAGTTTATGAGACTGCTCATGTTAACTATTTAAAGTAAGGCAGCCTGTAATTTCTAGTGGAATGATAACTGTACTAATTTTTTTGTTTGTTTGTTTTTAAATTTCAGGCAGTGGATTTAAAGTGTAAAGGGACCAGCATAGCTCTGGGATTGTTGGGTTCCGGGGATTCTCACTCCTGGACACTGAGCTCCTGGGAGAAACGCACAGTCAGCCACTGCTGAAACAGGAGGTGGTGTTCATTTTGAAAATAATCCATGCTGTAATGTCATGAACCAGGAAACTGGAATCCTTTACTAGCTCTTTATGCAAATATTTGGCTGCAGCTCTGAGCTAAAGGACTTGGAAGGAGTGGGTTTTTAAAAAGCTATTTCATCTTTAACCCCGTGCTTCCCCGAGGCGGCCTGTTTGCCTGGCTCTTTGTTATCCTGTTGTTATCTCGCCAGGTATGTTTACAATATCCTACTCGATATTATCTTTCTAGTTATGGGTTCACTTTCCACTTCAATACAAAGAAAAGCACCTCTCTTAGATTTCAAACAGCATCAACAGCCACAGTCTACAATTTAGAAAAACACATCACAGCTGTTAAAAAACTAATGGTGGGAAAAAAAAGTAAAGTATATTATATCTTTAGATAAGTACTAACTGAAATTTCTCTTTACCCTGAAGGCAGAGGAAATGCATGTGTATGGGTGTGTCAGTGCGTTTGTAAACTGATCTGGCTGAAATAAGTATTTTAAAAATTAAATTTACCAGTCTGGCAGGCACAGCTTCTTCTAGGACAACTCCAAACTTGGATATTTGTCTCAATTTATAACTTCTGTCCATGGTTGCCTTCTTAGAATTCCAAACTGGGGATACTACTCTGGCTTTCTAAGGAAAGAAATTTTCTTCTTGTTTTGTAATATTTCATACAATTAATTTTCTCCTGGATTTAAAGTTTCCTGGGGATGCCCACAACAATCGAATTGGAGACAGCTATTAAACGGGAGGTCTACACCAAAGAGCAAGCATAAATTACTCTCTGGTAGCCGCCTTCGTTGCTTGCTGAGGATGTTCTCCAGCATATCTAGAATCCTGGGTCCTCCCCATGGCTCCCAGGGATGGGTTTTAGGTCTGACTCTCCTGATGCAGGACTTCTGCATGCATGTGAGGGATGATGGAGTCTTCCAGGAGGCAGAGCAGTGTTCTGAGCGAAACAATGCTTCAAGGGTGCTGCTTTGTTTCTCATGGTTGTGGGGAGGAGGTTTAGAAAAGATGTATCCCTGGTCCAAGGAAGAGAAACTGCTCACTGGTCACTGGTCAGTGAAATGTTTTAGATCCTGCACTCACTAACAGGGAAACAATGCCAAACCAATCAATAAGGTTCCAAGAACAATGAGCTTTTCCAAATATAGGTGAGACTGAATCCTACCAAGTACTGAAGCTCTTTACTGAATGATTGCATTTTGTAATGAACATCTTGATCTTTATTTTGGCTCCCAAATCATTTTGCAGTTCCCTCTAGATCTGGTTTTATTAATTGTGTAACCATCTCTAAGTTGACATGGAGGCTGCTAGACTCCTGGTTAGTGTGGACAGATCTGCAAAAAACTGAATTTTGAGAGCCAACAATAAGAAGACTTTTTATACTTACCTCCCCTGGCTGTTAAAGGAGCTAATCACTACGTAGCCAAGCTCTACTGTTCCCTGGAATCCTGCACCTGCATATGCTAACTTCTCCTCTTGTGTGCCAAATCAGTCGACTCACTCCTTAGCTCTGAACTCTGGGAAGAGTAGAATGTGTGTTCCTGACTATCTGGCTTTCAGTCGTTGGCTGCAATTGTGTTTTGGTCGCCTTTCCCACATAATAATAGCTTTTATTGAGCACTCACCATGTGGAAAGTGCTCTTCTGAGTGCTTTATATGCATTTAATTAATCTCGCCCTGGATATTATCTCCAATTTAAAGATAAGGAAAAACAGGCAAGAGCGGCCAAGGAACTTGCTGGAAGTTATACACCCTGGAGGAGCTGAGGTCTGAACCCCGTTCACCTGGCATCTTACCAGGCACAAAAACTGTTGTGGGGCAAATACCCACAGGGTGAAGAAGAGCCAATCCCAGCAGGCCCTCGCTGTCTGATGTGGCCTCACTCTTGAGGGCTCTCAGTAAGGAGCCATCCTCTCTCTGGGGACAACCTGACTTTGTTGGAGTCTGTTGCTGTCGCCCTCCTTGAACACTCCTGAAGCATACAAAGTGGCAGGTGCTTACGACCGCCCAGATCAATTTTGTAATAAGCTAGAACTATGTAAGGCTTTAGGACATTTTAAGAAAGTGATTCTACATGCACTCCAGGGACATGGGCCTTTTCTGCTGAAGACTTTCCTTCCGAGACTGGCAACTTACAGATAAAATGATCTCACAGGTTGAGTTCCAGAAGGATGAAGAGAGAGTGAAGGATGTTCCACAGAGATGTTAACCTGGAAGGGCTCCTCAAACTGAGGTGAATTTCTGAAAGAGATTGTCTGAGTCTGCGGAGTGTGCCTGCGCTGCCTTCCTCACATAGTGTTAATCTCTTTTGCTGCTGGCTGGCTCTCTCTGCAGAACACCAGTCAGCCTTGCACACTCAGCTTTAACCAGTGAGGGTCTGGCTTCTCAAGCCCTGAGCCCATGTCATGCCCAAGCGTCCTCTGGCATCCTGTGAAGTGGGAGCAAGCGGGCACAGACGTTACTGTAACCGCTGAGGCCGCCGGGCCTCCAGACAGAGGGCCAGACCTGCTGCGGCTGGGGAATGAGGGCGGGGTGCAGGGGTGTGAGCTTACGGTTCCCCCCGAGGCTGCCTGGTGTGCCCTCCTCTGCTGCAGCAGCTCCTTCACTGTGATCTTTACCCGGACACCTTGATACACCTTCGGTTTTTCTGGGGAAAGGAAACTGAATCAATTGCCAAGTCCGAGGTTTGGGTGTCTGGCTGTGCAGTCAGGGTATCCTTCGTAGGCTAAAGCACCCCAAACCAAGTTTCTAGATTTGGAGAGCACTGAGTTACAATGAAACAAAACTAAACAAACACCAAACAAACACAGGCTGAGCAGTTTTCCGAGCTCCAGTGGGATGGAACACAGATGGGCACACAGGTTGTTCTGCCCAGGAATGTGGCTGCTGTCCAGGGGACCCTGGCACCTTCCTTAAGTAAAAGTTGAGGCAGTGTGGGGCTCGGGGAGGCCAGGGTACATGGGCCCAGGGGCACTGGGATTCATAGCAGTGAACCTAGCCCCCCACGGTGATGTGACCTTCAGTGTGAACTGTCAGCCTTCTCCCCCAGGCCAGGATTGGCTTCTGGAGAGAGAGGCTACCACCCCTAGGTGCCCCTGGTCTGGAAGGGGCTCGGGAAGCCACGGGACTGGCCAGCCCGGTGCAGAGTCCTCATGGACCTGCCAGACTGACCTCAGTGGGCAGCCGGGCCCAGGGAGCCCCCTCTTGCCCCCCACCCCCTTCTGCCATGTCTCCCATGTCCCTCTCCTCTCCATCTCTCCCTCCTCCTCCCTGGACCCGCTCCTGCTCTCCCTTCTTCCCTTCTCCCCACCCCACCCCTTCCTTGCTGCTGCAGGCCTTTCGTCTCATCTTCTGGGCGCAGCGCGGACTGGCACTCCGGGGAAATCCTCCAAGGATCCCCGGGCCGAGCAATCGCCGGGAGGCCGCCTCCGGAAGGGGCCGCCCCCGAGCTGGCGGGGCCCGGCTGCCCCGGCCCGGCGAGCCCGAGCAGCCCGGCCGGAGCCCGGCGTCCGCGGGGAGGGCCCCCCGCGCCAGGACCGGGGCGCAGCGCCAGGGTGAGCGGGCAGGCCGGCTGCCGCGGGCTGGCGAGCGGCTGCGGTTGGTGGGCGCGGTGGGCGCGGTGGGCGCGGGCCTGGCGACTCCCGCCTGACCTCTAACCCGGGGGCCGCCGCGCGTCCAGCGCGTCCAGCGCGTGGCCACAGGGCCGGGCCGCCAGCGCCTCCGCTGGCCACCGCGGGCACCGCAGCTGGACGCCGGACCCCACTCGCGGCCGGAATCCGGAGCGGAGGTCGCGCCAGGCGGGCAGTGGCCGAGCCCGGGCGCCCTGGCCGGCCGAGGCCGAGGACGCCGCGCCGTGCACGGTCCGGGGCGCGGCCAGGTCCGGGACCGGCTCTCCGCAGCCCCTCCTGGCGGGCTCGGGCTCCGCGGGAGCTGGGGTGGGCTCGCGGGGTCCGACGGCGCACGCTGCCCGCGCCCCGCACTCTCTGGCTCCCCCGCGCCGCCGCGCTGGTCGCGCAGGGTCCGGGCGCGAGGTCCCGGGGCGCGCCCGCGGCAAAGTGGGAGGGCGGCGCGGGCCTGGGGTACGCGGCCGTCCGGAGCCAGCAGAGCGGCCCTGGCGCCGCTGCCCGCCCCGGGGAGCAGGCGCCCGGTGGGAGCGGCCGCGTGGCCCGCGCCCTCCCCGGGTCCCCGCCCGGCCCTTCCTTCCGTGCCCTGACTTTGTGTCTCTCTGTTGCATTCAGGAAAAGCTGTGGAAATACACCTGCATGGAAATGCCCCTGGCCCACACGACCCCACCCCTAGAGAAGCAGCTGAGTTACCGGACATCGTGGTCTGCAGGAGCTGGGCCAGGGCCTGGATGCTGCAGCTGCAGGGACTCAGCGCCTGGGCAGGCTCCTGTGCAGGGAAAGAGGCAGAGATGCGATATTTTTAAAGTTTCACAAAGCATCCGGCTGCACCCAGGTCCCTGGAGCAGGAGATACACAGAATTAATGTTTTATACCTTCGGGTATAGGTTTGAGTTTTTTCTCTCTCATGCCAAGTATTTAAAACCTCTAGAAACCCATGATTTGACAATCAATGATTGCGCGATACTTTCAATTTGAATATTCAAAGGCTTAACAAAATGGACTATCTTCTGCAGAAATCCTGCACACAGGCACTCCACAGAGAGTCCAGAGAAACAGGGAGTGCGGCCTCTTTGGGTCCTGAGCCTTGCTTTTGCTGTATTTTGAGCATTTTGCCCACTTTGCCACAGTCAGAGCAGGTATCCTCAAAGATGCTCTATATTTCTGTCTCAAAGACAGCTCTGAAGCCCAAAGTGATGTAGGATGAGCCCCATCACCACCCGAGCCAGGCTGGCCGGCCGGACTTACTCTCACATGCTCACTCTCCATTTTAAGGGGAAATCTCAGGTTTTGGTGAGTGAACATGGCTGCCAGAGGGTGTGGCACAGCAGGGGGCCAGCCTGGGGCCAGATTTTAGGCCGGAGGACAGCAGAGGCCTTATCCTCGCACTTCTTGTCCTTCTGGCTCCGCCTGGCCACGTGCTGGCTTCCCTCCCCTTTTCATTCCCTTCTCTTCCTGGGCCCCAAACACCGCAGCTTCAGCCCTGAGTGCCAGGCCAGGCCACTAAGACCCTTTGCTCCTCCCCAGGGAGCAGGGGTGCCGCAGCCTCCCGCCAGGCCTTTTCTGAGGCTGGTGTTTCCTCACTGCACAGTGGAGTTCTCTCTTGTGCCTTTTTCTCCTTCCAGCCACCCCTGCAGTATCCTGTGCTAGGAATCTAGAACAGGCCTGGCTCCTCCTCTCATTCTGGCTGAAAGGACATGGATTCCTGTGGAGGGCTTCTCACTTTGAGGGGATTTGAGATCAGACTGCCCTTCTGAGCCCCTTACAAGTGCCTTCGAACTGTGCTGGCTCATCTTCTCCAATCACTGACTGCAGCTTTTGCCTGTGGTTTGGAAGGTGGAACAGGCAAGAGCCATCCAGACAGGAAGTAAGCGCAGGCCGGATCCCTCGGTAGCTTCTAGGGGAAGGCAGCGGCATAAGACGGAGCAATGGGAGGGAGGAGGGTCCCTTTGCAAACAGGATGTTGCTGTGAGGCCAGACCACGTGATGGTGACAGGCCTTTGCTTTTCAATCCTTGAGTTCTCTGAAATGCAAAAACAAACAAACAAACAAACAAACCATGCCTAAACCTGAGAAATACCTGAATGCCCTCAAATATGTCAGATGTGGGCTGCAACATAATTGAGCTCAGTAAAAGGATGTCTTCCAGTGAATGGGGGACAAGACTGATTGACAAGGATTAGGAGGCAGGTGGGGCCACATATCTGGGAAAGGATCAGGGGTGGAGACACCTGCGATAACGCCTGGCACTGGCAGGCAGGATGGATGTATCAGTTCATGGAGCGTGTTTCTCTAAAGGCCTCAGGCCTTTGCCCTGGAATGCCCAGACAGAAGCCGGGTCTGAGGGCCGGATCTGAGGAGAGAGAGGACAACGGCCAGTGCTTGGAATCAGGGCGGTCTCTTGTCCTCATAGTCTTTTCTGCTTCTTATCTTTTCTATTCTTTTTCTTTTTGCTTTCATTCTTAATTTTGGGTTTGCTTTTTTAAAACCTGCACACTTCCTCCACCTTGTTTGTTTTTCTTTCCCTCATTTTTCCCCCCCATTTCTTTTCTGTGTTGCTGTTGTTTTCCTTGGCTCCTGACACACCTCTTTTTTCTGCCTTGTTCTGGGTGCTTTCTCAGACTTACAGGCTTCATGTCCTTCCGCATCCCACCTGCAAGGTGGAGCTGAAAAGCGATGCCAGAAGACATCGTGCTTCTTGGGCGCATCGTGCAAGCTGATGCTAGTGATTGGGAGGCTTGGTGGAGAAGAGGGCCGGGGCGGCAGGACCACACTGCTTGGAAGTCGTGGGTTCTGTAGAGAGAGCAAAGAGCGCTCTGTCCTGTTTGTCCATTCGTCCAGAAGCCTCTGCCTAAACCATGACAGCAATCCTGGAGCTCCTGTGTTTGCTGCTATCGCTGAGATTGACAGCAGCTTCAGAAAACTAGATTTCTCCAGGCCTGATTGTTGTTTTGAAAAAGAACCCTTCCCCACTTTCTGCCGAGATCATTAGGCCAACATTCAGGCATTGCTTCCTGGTGTGTGTGTCACTGTAAAACTCCAACATGGGCATTAAAGGGCCGAACACCATGCTTGTGGAGGTAAGGGACAATGCTTTCTAAATGGGTCCTGTGAGTCTGACAGATCTGAATGGGTGATGTCATTGAGGCAACCCACCCTTTCAAGCCCGAGACCCCACATGCCCACAGAGTTGGGTGGTTCTCATAAAAGGCTCTTTAAAGTCACCCGCATTGTTTACTGGGTATCATTTTGTAGAGTGCCCCCATTTCACACATGAGCAAACACGTTTAAAGGGATATAGCAGCTTGCACATAAATGGCAGAGTTGCTATTCAAATTTTGATAATTCCTTGCTCTAACTATTTATTAACTGTTTTCTGATCTTACACAACTTTTTTTTTGGTGCTGAACTCACAAGGTAGCATTTTTCAGGGAGGCACTGTGCTGCTGAGCTCTATCCCCAACTCTGTTTTCTGATCTTTTGTTACAGAAATGTTTAAACTTTTTCGACTTCAACCCACAATAAGGAATTGTTTACACATTACATATAACTATAATAATATCCACATTTCCACAGAAGCTCTTCATGAAATAACGTCTACCTGTGTGTGTGAGGTATTCTGGTACGTTCTGTTATATTCAGTCTTTCCTATCACATTTACGAGAAGTACGTCTTGGCTAGGAGTCACCATTATAATTTGATGACTCACTAAAGAGTTTTGACTGGCACTGAAAAAACATTGCTCTTAAGATATACAAACATATTGCCCTGGTGCTGTGCCTGAGGGTGTCGCTTGGTGCCATGAGTTTTACAAGTATGCACAAGGAGCCCACGGCAGTACAACATATGGCTTGTGACTTTTATGGGAGCACTAGGCCCTGAAATAAGAGGCTGTCCAGAGGTGAGGAGAAACTGTCAATTATGCCAGTAGTGACAATCTGTGCTTCTCAGACTGGAAACACTGACACTTATACAGTAACTGCCCTGCAGTCATGATGGTACCTAAAACCCCAGGTTGCTCCTCCCCAGGGAGATTTTACTAAAAAAAGTTACCGAGTTCAATCTGTTGTAACAGTTTCATCTGCTTACAGATATAATGCGGGCTTTGAGTATTAGGTGTTGAGAGGTATTTTTGAAGTACTGAGAGGGACTTAGGGCCTTTTCTCAGCCCCTCTGCGAGTGTCTAGCCTCTGCAGCACTTGGCTGAAGTCCTGGCTCCTGGCAGAATTTGTGCAGAGGAAACGGGAGCTCACTGTGTAGAAGGCAGGCAGCCACGCTGTGGTGTGAGTAGCCTCGCTGGCAGGGTGCACTAGAGCTCATGCTGCTAGAAAAATACTGTGACCGGTGACTGGGCCATCACCCAGCTAGGTATTAACTGAGCACCAGGCACGCTGTGATGTACAGGGATGCAGAGGTAAGTAGCCCTCGTGTTCTCATCAACCGTTCTGTTCTGCCGCTGCCACACTTTGTTTTCTTATGGGGTTATTTAGTTCATTCATTAGTTATTTCCTTCTTTCTTTTTTTAAGAGTAGGAAGATTTATTGGAGAAAAGGAATGGGAATAGGAATATGGAATAGAGGCATCCAGAATGAATAGGACAAATTTGTATTCAGAGTTTTAGATGGAATATTTTAATTGAAAGGATTTTGGGAGTCTTTTGCATGCAGATGACACTGTAGAGTATTACGTTCCCCCCCCAGTGCAGGAGGTTTTTTTTTTTATTAAACTCTCTCTCTCTCTCTCTCTCTGTCTCTCTGTCTCTCTGTCTCTCTCTCTCTCTCTCTCTCTCTGTCTCTCTCTCTCTCTCTCTCTCACACACACACACACACACTGAAAGACATTCAGTATAAAGGGGTAGCTTATTCCCTGCAAATTTGACTATAGCTCTGAATCCTTTTTATTAATGCAAAATTCTTTTGTCAACTTAATCTTGAGACACTGTTACCAAACCTTGTGGGAAATATCAAGTTCCAAAAA